ATCAAGATGGGAGTGGTTTGAATGGGCGGTCGATATTGATCCCTTTGATTATGGACCGTTTACTGGTCATTTGAATATCTTTATGATATCAGAATTTGGTGATCTTAGGCTTGTTGGATTCTTCTCGCCAAGCCGCTCGATTTGACGAAAAGCATGTCACATTTACAATTTGTTTGGTAATCCAAATTATGTTTTGAACCTTCCAAATATGCTTTGGACTCATTTGGGCTCGGATTATATTGATTTTGGTGTCGTTGGGTTCGTCTTTTCGAGATGTCAGTTTGATAATAAGTTTGTTGAAATCGGAGCTTGGATGATCCCAATTTTTAATTTTAGAAGCATTCAGCTCAATTTTGCCTCGACATTCATGCCCAATCTGGATGAATTTTTTTGTGACATATCTGTTGCCCCCTATTTTCAAACGTCAAAACTTGCAAAGTCCGAAAATATATATTTATACCTTCTCTATCATGTAGAGTTTTTTCTGTGGATATAATAGTAATATAACAATAATCCATCACACCCATCATCCAACGACAATTTATGTTAAAGAATAAGTAAGAACTGCTCTATGAAAAATGATTAAAAAATTAATTAATGACACAGCTCCATGAGAAGTTATAACTGTACAACTATGTTGTAGCAAGCCATGAAGTTAAAATGACTTCAATGCATGATTATTAATATAATCTATTTTGTGAAAACATATAGGAATAATTCAATGTAACCAAATATTTGTAAATATTAACACAACAATAATTCCCACAGAAGTCTGTTAAAATTGTGCTAGATCCCCAAAGTCACAATCCCCTCAAAGGCAAACCAATGAAGAAGATAATTATATAATTCCCTATATTGAATAGTTGAAACTTCAAGTGCTAGATAATTTATGTTTATGCTTTTGTTGTTATACTAGACATTTAATGCTTGCTTATATTTTGATATTATAAGCTACAAGGCTACAAATGATGTTGTCGTTATTTTTTTTTTTTGTAATTTCAAATATTATGCTTTGTTTGCTTTCTTAATTTTTATGTATGATTTATAAATTATAATGTCGTGTCCGCGCCGTACCCGTATCCTGTATTTTTAAGAATTGTCGTGTCCCGTATCCGTATCGTGTTGTATCCGTGTCACCGTATCAGTATCGGTGCAACATAGCTGTACAATAGTTTTAATGCAAGCCATGAAGTTAAAATGACTTCAATGCATGATTATTAATATAATCTATTTTGTGAAAACATATATGAATAATTCAATGTAACCAAATATTTGTAAATATTAACACAACAATAATTCCCACAGAAGTCTGTTAAAATTGGGATTATATCAAATAAAAATGTTTTAGTTTTGAAATAACGTAGAATTTGTTTCTTATCTGTTGGCCCTATTTCTTGATTAGGAGTATAATCAATAATTATATGTATAAATATATAAAACTTGTTAAAGTAATATTAACATTATAATAACTGTTAATATTCCCACGTTCTGCCTTGACATACATTTTATTACATTTAATAGTTTTAACATTATTTAAAACACACAAATTACTAATTGAAGCCACCAATTTTGATTGAAGCGGCCGTTACGCCATCTCAAAAAAATTTATTTTATTTATTTATTTATTTTAAATTTATTATTATTATTAGTGATTTGTCTTCTCAAATTGCAAAAAATATTCTAAAAAGTTAATAAAATTTTTAGAAAAACTTTTGGAATTACTCTCTTATTATTTCACTTAATTTTTTCCTTTTAAAATTCCAAATATTATATTAATTAATTAATTTTTATTTTATTTTAGAATTTTCTAGAAAGACTCTTCATCTTTCCCTCATGCAACTAAAAATACCTCCTCGGGGGTAAGGGGAAAAGCACAATCCCTTGTGCCGACCCAAGCCCTCTCTTTGGAATTGTGGCTCCGGGATTGTCAGTGGCAATCAAAACCTTGCTCTCTTGTGCCGATCCAAGCATTCCTCTGGATTGGTAGCTCGGGGAGCGTAGGTGGCAATCAAATCAAACATTAGTGGCGATCAAAGTCTGGTTCACTTGTGTCAGCCCAAATTTTTCCTTGGATTAGTAGCTTGGAGAATGTCTACGACAATCAAAACCTTGCTCTTTGTGCCGGTCCAAAAATTCCTTTGGATTGGTAGCTCCGGAGCGTAGATGGCAATTAAAGAGAACATTGGTGGCGATCAAAGCCTAGTTCTCTTGTGTTGGTCCAAATTTTTTCTTGGATTGGTAGCTCGGAGAATGTTGGTGGTGATCAAAGCCTTGCCCTCTTGTGCTAATCTTCCTGTGGATTGGTAGCTCAGATGGTGTTAACAACGATCAAAGCATTACCCTCTTGAGCCAATTCTTTTGTGGATTGGTAGCTCGAAGGGCGGTGATGGCGATCAAAGCATTGCCCTCTGTGTCGGTTCTTTTGTGGATTGGTAGCTCAGAGGGGATTGACGGCGATCAAAATTTTGCTTTCTTGCAAAAGATGAAAATGAACCGACTATCTCCTCTCTTGGGGAGAGATTTGGCAGTAACAATGCTTGAGAAGAAATCCGATATGATAACAAACAGTCAGGAAGAAGTCTAATATGATAACAATAAGGGGGCAAAGTTTCTATGTCCATAGAATCAATCGATTCTCCCTCATATGTAATAAGATCAGCAACATTAAACACTGGAGAGTTTTCTCAAGAAGGTGATTTGGTTATGATTTACTTTCAATGACAGTGTTTTCCCGTTGGCACATTTGGCAAATTAAGCCGAAAGAAATTTGGTCCTTTCTGAATACTACAAAGATTGGGAACAAATGCTTATAAGTTGGATCTCTTACCTTCTATCGTAATATTCTCTTTAGTGTTTAATGTTGCCGATCTTATTACATATGAGGGAGAACCGACTGATTCTGTGGACATAGAAACTTTGCTCCTTACTGTTCCAGTTCAGACCAGTGACGATCTTATCGATGATGTTTTGGACATCCATACTACTCAGACAAGACATTGAGTGCACTGACAGTTCTTGGTTATATGGAGTGGATGTCTCCTGACTAATTGTTCTTGGATTGAAGCTGAGGAGTTACAGTTTCATCGTTCTGATATCTATCAGCATATTACTGAGATATTCTAATCAAAAGATGAGATTCTTCCGCCAATGAGTGGAGAATTGATGCAATCAAGATTTATAATTTTATAATTTTTTTTAATTTTCTTGTATTTTGGAATGTACGTAATTTTATTTGTATGGCCTTATGATGGAAAACAACGCATAATCATGTCGGGTTTGGTGCTCTCAAATCAGTTCATACCATTGCCCTTCCACTTGTGTTTTCTTGCTCCTCTCCTGTGGCTGCTCAGTTTTGCCTATTGTTTGCTCGGTTTCTTTGTTGGTTGCTCGATTTTCCTGCTAGCTGCTCGATTTCCCTGATGTTTAGTTGGGTGGTTCTTATTGCTTGATTTGGAGGCACATTTATGTGAGAAATAAGACTGAGTGGCTGAATTTATTTGTGCACGAGTTTTTGAAGAGTGGTCATTTTAAAAATTAGGGAGTTTCTTCTTAACTTGCGAGCTGTCTTCACCCTAACCGTTGCTTTTTCCTCTCGGTCTTATTTCTACTTCTTCTCTTCATTGTTTCCCTTCCACATGTGTCTTTCTTCTCTAAACTATTATGAGTTGTAAGTGATGTTGTGTCTTATTCTATTGGTATTTGTCGGAGGAGCAGGGCCTTGTGTTGGAACCTAATTCTTGTGGCAGATTGTTGGTTTGTCCTTTACTTTGAGCACCTTCCCTATTGTATTTGCATGTGAGGTGACCATTCGTTTAATGTGACCAAACCATTTAAGGCGACTATCTCTAATCTTATCTTCCACTGGAGCTACTCCAACCTTTTCACGTATATGTTCATTTCATATCTTATCTCTAAGGGTAAAGTCACTCATCCACCTAAGCATCCTCATCTCTACAACATTTAACTTGGTATTATGCTTCTCTTTTAATGGACAACATTCGGCACCATAAAGCATTGCAAGTCTCACCACCATCTTAAAGAATTTTCCCTAAAGTTTGAGGGGAACTTTTCTACCGCACAACAAGCCCGATGCATTCCTCCACTTCAACCATCCAACTTGCATTTTGCTGATAATATCCCCATCTATTTCACCACCACTTTGAACAATAGATCCAAGATATCTAAAACATGTACTCTTATCAATGACTTGATCATCCAAAGTCACAATCCCCTCACTAGGTCTATTGCTACTAAAATTACACTCCATATATTCAATTTTAGATCTACTCAAGCGAAAACCATTAGACTCTAACGTTGACCTCTATAATTCAAGTTTACCTTCAACTTCCTCTCTAGTCTTATCAACAAGAAGAATATCATCAGCAAAAAGCATACACCAAGTACACCTTCTTGCAAATGTCTAGTGAGAACATCCATGACTAAAGCAAAAAGATATGGATAAGGCTGATCCTTGATGTAATCCAACCAAAATAGAAAAATACTTGGTCAAACCACCTTGTGTTTGAACACAAGTAATAGCTCTTGCATGCATATCTTTAATGATTTGAATAAGCGTTATTAACTCCTTTCCTTTCAAGAACTCTCCAGAGCACTTCTCTTGAAACTTTATCATATGCTTTCTCTAAATATAAAAATAATAATAATAAAAGTGCAAAGGGTATGGATAGATGGAAAAGGGACAGTTGAATAACTGCATTTAAAAAAATTAAAGAACTTGATTATTTATTTTAGAATCGCTAAAGGTTATTTGTGTGGATTCTTCAACAAATGGAACCTAGTTGTGATTTATCATAAATATGAGGGATTCAATCAAGTGGTTTTAAAGCGATAGGGAGCTGTATGATCCTAATGGAAAACTTGAAGGACCATTCTGCAATTTACCTAAAAAGTAAAAATCATTGCTAATTCTTATAATAAACTGAACGATGCAACATCTTAAAAAATAAAACCCATATAAATACCATATATAGATTATGTACCTTCTCAGTCAGGTCCTTCAATGCCTGAACCAAAATTCCAAAAACCTGATCTTTGTACCAAGAATTACGAACCAATATTCTTTGTCCAGTAACAGGAGTAAAGGGAATGCAACTTTGTAACTTGGGATAGTATTGAACACCATATCCGTAGTACGCATCAGCCCATGAATGGTCAAAAACAAATTCTCCATATGAATGGCTGCACTAAAAAGAAAATATTTTAGCCACTGAATGAGCAAAAAATGAATGGGAAATTATTCTGTAATATGTCGAACAAATGTTTGAATATGTATTTTTTTACTGAAAGTATTGGAGGTCGTAAACCTTTTAAGATAAAGGGGAACAACACCTAGAGTATTTCTAAATTCATCCTGAGCGACAACATGCTGAGGCAGCCACCCCGTTTCCTGAAATCAGTTCATATAGGCAACTGAAAAAAGCATTTAGGTAAGCGCTAAACCAATTGTTTTACATACAAAATAATAAAAAATTAGCATAACAGCATGAGAGATTAAATAATAGTTTAGAACATAATGTAGTCTGAAATGTCAATGTAGATCATGTCATGAAAGGGAAATATTCAATTCAAAACCAATTAATATGGCAATGTCCATTTCTGACTCTTTAACAAATCTGAAAGTCCAATGACATGGATGTAATATTCTGAACCGGGTCTGTCAAGTGAAGACGAAGGACAGTTTGTAAATTGGGGTACGTTCTCGCAAAGGAAGACGGAGCGGAAGATGAAGAAGAAGGAGCTGATAAGCTCACGCGGCCGTTCTGTCGATTTGACTCAAAGCCATCTCTGTCAATTGTAAGCCGAGGAAGATGAAGGTATTCGCGAGGGCATATGTAAATGTTGTCTTCATCGAGAGGAGCAATTATTACGTCCGGTCACCGAAATATTATTAAAGTTAAACTTTTAACTAAAGAAAACATTTATTTAAATTAGAAATAATTAAACTTAATATTAAAAGCTACTGTTATTTAATAATATTAATTAGTTTCCATTCATTAATGGTGCATATATATGACAGAGCAAATTTCATTTTCAATAACTATATAAGATTTTATTTACTTAAGAAATTAAGTTTATGAAATTGATATAACAAAATAATTAGTTAATTGAAATAAGTAAGAGATCATTTAATTATGTAAATCTACAAGTTTTAAAATATTAAATTATGAATTTTTTATCTATATTTAAATGATAAAATGAGGAGAATAAATTTTATCAAGAGCTATTTATGTATATTTAATAACTAATTAGAGGGAAAGAGAAAAAAGGGCAATTTTCAATTTATGATTTTAATTAATAGAAATATAAAATTATTAGAGACTTTAGTGCATCTTTCAACTTATTGAAAATAGTTAATTAGTAATAGAAAATTTAATTTTGAGACTTTAGTGGCTCTTTCAACTTATTGAAAATAGTTAATTAGTAATAGAAAATTTAATCAACTGTCCGACCATCTATTCTTGTCTCGTTAATTTGAGAATTACTTTCAAAATTGAATACTAAAAATAAAGAGGTAATTATTTAAACAAAAAAGTTATTCAAACCATCAACCCAACACACATTCAACACCAGCTCTGTTTTACATTCTAAACTAAGTAGCGATATTGACTCATCACCTCTCTTACAATACTATACTCGACTCATCTGCAACAAGCCACAAGGGAAGGGTGAAAAGTGTTAATTTTGAGGCTTGTGAACAGCATTGCTCTATTACTCGGGAGCTTTCATGGATACAAGTGAAATGATTTCAATTTCATAAGAATGCTTAAAAAAAGGTTTCTTTTGTGGGTAGCAAATGAAAAAACTACTCCTGCAGCTTTGTTAAATATTTTAATTGTGTATTTCCGTTCCGAAACAGAGCCTGCATTGGGTACCAATACCCACACCCACCCATGTACCCACCCATACCCAATGGGTATGGGTGGGTAAGGGTACGCCCATGTTCTTGTGGGTGTGTATGAGTGGGTACTCAATATCAGAGGATAAATCGATTTATACTGCTAATCATCGTATATCTTATATTACTGCAATCCTCACTACATAGTGTGCAGCACTTAGCCACACTACGACTATGATAAATTTTGATACGAGTCTTGAGAGTTCGCAACAAGAGCAAAGGAAAACAAGCCTCAAATCCATCAATCCGTGGCAGACTACGTTCAAAAAGCATGGAAAGTGGGTAGGTATAGAAGGGTATGACATTCCAAAAGTCACCATGGGTGGGTGTGGGTGGGCGAAGCCCATCTGAGTAAAACATGGGTATCCAACCAGGACCCTATGTAGGCTTTGTTCCGAAAAGAGTTAAATTGTTTCTTTTGTTGGAAATTTAAAGACTGCTTCCACCATGTGAAACTTTCGTCCTACTTCTTGTCAAAAAACTTGCAATTAATTTCATTCCAAGAGAATAGATTTCTAAAACAGAAAGAAAAGCAAATCCATGGAGAAAGCATATATAAGTTCTCATGGGCTCAGTACTAAGCTTGCGTAAACAGTAAAATAAACTAGCTCATCCAAATAGATCTGTAAAATATATAATAAGCCAACAATTTTTCACCGGTCAAGTAGTTTGAAAAGGTAGAGCTCTTGGACCTAACTTTTGTTGGCCAATAAACGTGGAAAGAAGTAAGAGTTTTTTTTTTTTCAAATGAAGCAATGCAAGAATACGAAAGGTTTAGAAGCGGCGAAGCGAGCGGAGCGGAGCGAACGGAGCGAGCAATTTTGACGGAACTTAGGCGATCGGAGGTTCTCCGTTGGCCTCGTATGGCCGACGGAGGTTCTTGGTGCGTCTCTGTCGTTCTTGACGGAGAGATGAACTAGTTGAGCGGAGAAGAACAGAGATTGTTCTCGGCGCTCTTGGCGATTTTCTCGGATCGTTATGATCTTGGAGTATTGACGTTGCTTTGGAGTCTTGCAGATCTCTATCTGCCTGAGGTTCATATAATGTCAGAAAGTAGAGCGATTCTGACGGATCTTTTGCGATCGGCGGAACTCCATTGGCTTTGTATGGCCGTTGAATTTCATCGGTGCGTCTTTATTGTTCTTGAAGATATGATCTTGGAATTTCTAAGTAATTTGAATCGCGAAGGTTTTTTTATGAGGATTTTGATCAAGTCCAATTCGATGTCTGTTTTCTTGAAAATTTTTTGTGAAAATTATGATGCAATCCTGGAAGTGATTGCTTGTTCTGTCTTTGTTTTTGATTGTCCTAGTGGCATTGCTGGGGATATTTTCTTGAGTATGAATGTTAAATGGAGTTCGGGATTACCTGGTTTTATGGATTTTCTTGTTTCCATAAACGGACCTAATGAATTTGGATCAGCTGTTTTTGCGTTGTTGGCTGGAACGTCAAAATGTTCTGCCCGTGGATCAATCAGGTTGAAGAAGTTGTTGGTTTATGTTTTTAATGACAAAGTGATAGTTTGGTCACTTGATTTTCAGTTGCTCATTGAAGATCAAATCTTATTGGTTAAAGATTTGAAGGATTTGAAGTTTATTGGTTTTCCTCTCGTTAATATGAAGAGAGTGAAGAAGATTAGCAGTTCGGTTGTCTTTGGCATTGATGAAGCCAGATGTTGGCTTCTTGAGGTGATTATCAGTGTTATGGCTTTACATTGGAAGGATACTGGTATTGTTCTTTCCAGTATGATGGATATGGGGGAGATTTTTAGTCTGCATGACTTTGCTTATGAAGAGGCTGACTCTTGGACTATTGAGGAGACAGTTGGTCATTTTGCTTTGTCGTTGCTGATTGGTTTGTTCTTGGTGGATGTTGTTGGTTGTGTTGATGCAACATCAGAGGATTCTATTCTTGATTGGAGCTTGTTGGACCCTAAGATTGATGGGGTTTTGGCTGACGATTGGATAGCTAGTTTAGTAGTAGTGTTTGTTTTTCTTAAATCTTGTTATTTTTTGCTTATTTTGCTAATAGGTTCCTTATACCTTTTTAAAACCATTATGATGAAATATGGGATTTTTACTAGGATTCATTTTCCATCTTTTGGGAAAGCTGGGATACTAACCAACCTTTAGGTTGTTCTTTTACATGGTGTCCCCATCACCCCAATGGATCTAAAATGGAACTTAGTAAATCGCATATCCATTATGGTAGTTTTAAAGGGTTGCTTTTGCTTTCTAGTTTGTATTAGGTTTTTCGTCTTTGTTGACGCTTATTTTTGTTTCGACTCGACCCCGATCGAGCCCGACCAGGCTCGATCGTGCTCGATTGACTTAATTGACCATCGTCGAGGCAAAGTCGGCTCAAATTGGACCCCGATTTGATTAAATTAAGTTTGTTTTAGTCAAATTAAATTTAATTTATTTCAATTAAAATCGAATCGAATTAAATCGAACCTCGTCGAGCGTCGTCGAACCCAATTCGACGTGATTCGACGCCGATTCGAGTTCAATTTCGCAAAATTGACTCAATCGGACGAAATCGGACCCAAATCGACTCAAATCGATTCAGGTCGAACCCAATTTGAGGCTAATTTCAGTCTCAATTGGTTGATTTGGGTTCAATCA